TTGTACCTCTCATATAATGATTCCTTCTGATATTCGATATTCCGGTAATTTTAGCCACATTTTTTTGGAGGAATTACTCTAGATAACGGGCAATAATCACAGTTTGAAGAAAATCGGGTAATCGTTGCTTTTGTGAGCAATGATTATTCAAAAGTTTGGCCCTTTGTGGAGGAGATACATGTGCTGTTATTGCCCTACCTGATCTAAGTCTGATGGAAATATTCTAACATCAGGAGCTAACAATTTGTTTACTTCTGTATTTTAGACGTAAATGGGAAACAAATATTACCATGTGCCAAGTTTGGACTATACCAAATATTCTCTTCGCTTCATATGAAATCTATGTATATATTTTGGAAACAGTTCAACTTTGTTTAGGAGATGCCGCATGGAGTGTTCCGTTACATTTCATTTGGCTTCGATCTGATATAAATATTACCACGTATTAAGTTTGATCTGAATATGGCGAACACCCTCCACTTCATATTCTTTTTTTTTAAAGTTTGAAATTCTGTAGGAAAGGCAGGGATCGATTTAAGTTTGGCAGAAATATTATGACGTCGACGGCGCTACGTGCCACTACAAGATAGATAGATTTCCAAAAACAAAAAAAAAAACAAATAATAATAATAAAATGTCTCGGATCCAGAAACTTATACTAAAATTGGCAGAACACTATAAGAATGTTTCCGATCCACTAACAACCTCAAATGGAAAATTATAGTCAAGTGTGCGACAGACGTTGCAAGATCCCATTGCCTGAAAGATTTCTAAATAACAAACAACTCGGTTCAAAATCTGCCTTGCCTTTCAAAAGGCCGAATATATTAAGTTGTACAGGTCGCAAAAAACTGCTAAATATCCGATTTATTTATATTTCGAGCTGTTCCCATTTCGTTTTTATGGCACTACAATCGGCCCAGCCTGTACATTGTGATGGACATACATACTCACACAACACATTGCCATGTGCACCAAAATCCAGTCAACGATATTAGCGGACCTGCACGCCTACCCATCGCTGCACTACAAATGCCATAGCTGTTGTGCTTTCTTTACATTTTCATATATTTGAGGTAAAGTGATTAAAATCAAAAAGTAATAAATTTTTCACTTTTCATTTTGTCAAAACTAAAAAACGAGGCATTGTGGCCATTGCAATGCGAGAGTAGTGTTGCAGTTCCATTAATACTAAAAATGCAAATTAGTTTTTTCCCCAGCATTGAAGCATTTCCCGCAACCATGGCGTGAATGACTGCTGTGCGGCAGAGTGTGTGTGTGTTTGTGGAACACATCCTGAATCTGAGTGTAGTGCGGCGGCGTGTTTCCTGATATTGGTGGTAGCGAACAATGTTCCTTTCTTTTTTGCTACGCCTTTGTCATTGTTCTGGCACATCTTTACAATGAACGGGTGCATTTTCATATTATGCCGTTTTATTAATCAATTAAGAGTGATGTTGTTACAACGATACGAAATTCCGTAAAGTGTAAAGGGACATACGCTGTTCGGGAAAGGAAATTCCATTATGCAACTTTTTTGCTGTGCTTTTTTATGTCGAAACGAGCGGATATACTGATATACATATGTCGTATTAATTGCAGCATTCGTAAACTCTTCAAATGTTTCTTAAACTAGTGAATATCCTTACCAATATTGTGAATATATATCTAATTTTTAAAATGAACCTGAATATAATTCAAACAAAGGAGAAAATGTTCCTTGTTTTCCTGATCTTCAAATATATCACGTTTATTTAGTAAAATTTAGTCAGCTATTCAATATGATGATAGCTCAATGATATTCGGGTTGAGAATTTCGGCTTGGTATATTCGGGATAATGAAGTCAGCTTGCCTAATTCCAACACTTGACCAATTGTAGCTGGAGAATTACCGTCAAACTAAAACCACAATTTGTGTACGAATTAACATCAGAATCTTATTTCTACGCAAGGGGGAAACATATTAGAAAGGTTCAACCAATACAGGATGAGATAAAAAAACTGCAACAAAGTTAAACGCCATCATTTTTACATTTTTTTATGTCGGAAATGGCATCAAATTTTAGAAAATGTTTAGATTTCTTCGAATTGGTCACCTTTGGCATGAATTATGGCCATCAAACGGCCACTGAAACCGTCACACGCTGCCCAAATTTTGCCTGCGGTATTTTAGCCCATTCCCGCCGAAGCGCTAGCTTGATGTGATCGAAACTTTGGTATTTTTTAGCGCCAACCTTGCTTTCCAAAATACTCCAGGCACAATAGTCCAACGGATTGGTATCCGGAGATTTTGGTGGCCATTGTGCCACCTTATTTTGTAACCATTCTTGGGTGGCACGTGCTTAGTCCTGTTGGAATGTCCAAGATCTGCTGCCAAAATGTTTGCGTGCCCAAGGCTTTAATACACCCTCCAGAATATTTTCGCTACAATATTCGGCATTTATTCTGATGTCACGGTCGATTAAAACGAGCGGAGAGTGACCATCGGCTGTTATGGCGGCCCACACCATTACCATGGCCGGCGCTTGAGTTCTGGTGGCCAACCGACGGTGCACATTTTCAGCTGACCTCAACAGCAAGTAAACACGATCATTTTGTTTGTTTACAAAACTGCTGGACAACGAATGTTTTCTCATCGGAAAAAATCAAATTCGGCAGTTCACCACTTTCGGCCAAGCGAAACAACTCTTAACAACTCACGAATAACTTTTTCTTTCTAGAAAACTCTCTCCAAAATTCTTTTGTAAAATGACAGCAGTCTGAAGTCGGTTGCAGTTTTTTAATCTCACTCTGTATGTTAAGTCGGTTTTATGAAAAATTTTCCTGCAAATTATGATTTGAGAAGAATATGCCATATACAAAATGTTTGTATATCAAATTAGCCAAAGCGCTAATATATTTTCCACTTCCTTTTTTACTCATCATATTTATCCTCAGCTTTTTTTCGACTTTATGTCAAAGAAAATAATATTCTACACAACTTTATCTAGGTGTAACTTTGTTAGGGCATCTATTAAGGCTTTATCATATACAAAGGGTTCCGATTATAATAAGATTTACTGAGTAATATTTAATGTAGAGAATTTCAAAAATGCATAGAGAATACTTCAAGAATTATTGGCTTTAAAAATGGGTCGTCTGGGTCCACTTTATGGTATAGTCCCCATATGATGATATCGGGGTATATCATCATATGGGGACTATACCATAAGTATTTTGTTTACGTTTCTGTTATGTTTTCCATTTAATTTCGCCAATATATGTCCACATTTTTGGTACAGCCCTTGTATAAAGATACCCCAGATTTTATTTATTGCGAGGATGCTGACCATATTTTTCAACCGACTGTTCGTTGTATTTTAGATTCTTAAGGACTAAAAAAACCTTCCGACAAAAGGTATATAATATAATCTAATATTTATAAAGGGCCGGACAATTAAAAATGTATCTTCATAAGTTTGCCTTTTTGACTTAATTCATACCACTCCATTTATAATTTGTCACACACGCAACCAAATCGGTTGGGAGAGTGAATTTCTGGTGACTCACATGTACAATTAGGTATACACACTATGAAAAAACTGCAACCAACTTCAGACTGCTGTCATTTGTTAGCCATTCGTCCGACAGCTCATTATATTGTTTACAAGCGTACAAAAGCATCATCGGAGAAAACCAAATTCGGCAGTTTAGCACCTTCGGCCAAGAGAAGCAACTCTTTAGCTCTTTGGAGTCTATTTTCCTTCTCTTGCGGTGTAAGTTCTTGTAGTTTTTGGAATTTCAATGGCTTTACCTCGAGCTCATTTTACAATATTGGCCGAATGGAATATTGCGATATATTTGGCTCACGAGCCATTTTTCGGTCACTGCGTCGAGGGTTTCGATCAAGTCGCTTCTTTATTTTTAGAACCATTTCTGCTGATGTTGCTGTTTTCTTCCGTCCACTTCCTAGACGTTGAACTACGCTATCAGTTTCACGGTAACAAGCGATGGTAGGAGACGCAAAAGATTTATTCACATTTAAATGCTGGAGTGCTCTAACGATAGTCACTTGTTGTTTTCCAGCCAAATATAAAGAAATCACACTATCACGCTTGAATTCCATCACGAATAACTTTTTTTCTGGACAATTCTCACCAAAATGCTTTCGTACGCTTATAAACAATATAATGAGCTGTCACTGAAATAATTTTAACAGCTGTCGGACGGCCGAGTGGCTTAGAAATGACAGCAGTCTGAATATGGTAGCAGTTTTTTCACCCATTTCGACATTCTTGATCGAATGTAGCAATGACCTGTCAATATTCCTATCGTTATTCGTAACATTTTATGCCTAATGGAGACTGTGTTCTATTCAAGGAGATATCTTGTCAAGTCTATTATGATACCATTCACTTTGATTCTGGAATGTTGTTGTAAAGCTCTGCTTAAATTACAAGAGAAGGTTTTAAGATGGTAACGACCATAAGGTCTGTTGACTGATAATTCAATATAGCAATGACCAGGTTACCCTGCAAAGCCGGAGAACAGTGTAAAGAGACGTTTACCTATCTACTATTCAAAATAAGTAGTCTCCTATATTTTTAATTAACTCTGCTGCTCTAATGATGGCAAAGATCTTAGCCTGGGAGAAGGAGTATGCCATTTTTAGATGCTCACAAAAGTCTCCGGCTCCCGTGCCTCCTTCCTTCTTTGGTATAACTGTATACATGGGCAAACCAATTAGAGTTAGATTGACTACGTTTCATTCTGTGATTCCTTAATGATGGAAAAAAAAAATAATTATAGGTTTGTATGTTTATTTATAAAAAAAAATCATGAAATATTTGTTAAGGCGATAACTTTTTCAGGATTCCGGAACTTCTTAAGAAGGACCACTTTTTCCTGAACACTATTTGAAGAAATTCTGCTTTGCCGACATCCGTTTTCAACTTATTAATTACTTATAATGTTGTGATTTCTTATTTTATTTTTTAACGTTGATATTTTTTTCTTTTCAGGACAAATCTACCAAATTAAGAACAAAAATTACGCAATGATGACTACTTCCCAGCATTTCTTCAACAACCCATACGCCATGTTTCATGGCCCTCCGCCCAAAATGGGGCCGCCAGAAAGTCCGCACAACAATTACGCTCTTGACCTTCATACAACCACAAAGCCGAGAACCCTTGACAGAGAGGAGAGACCACCACCATATACGCCGCCCCCACCACCAACATCACCTAGGTAAGGATAATCCACGAACCGAACTACAATCAACATACCCAAAGAAACAGACCCCCAAGCATATCTTCAATCAACACACACATTTTACAAGTAACTCTCGTCTGGGAATAACTGAACTACAAATCATTTGAGAGAAAGTTAAAGTTACTATGAAAATCAATTTGTTTGCAATTAAAAGTTTCAGATTTTTATTGATTTTCAGATATAGCAAAAAAAAAATAATTTTTTAAAATATTCCAATTTTTGATAAAATTTACGTTTAAAAATAAACAAAAAAAAAAAAAACGCCGCAAATTAAATTGAAAACACATTTCGAAACATAATGAAGGAAGCTATTTACTTAAATTACACATTTGCCTTGAAGCGCAAGCTAATTTGCAGATATCTTACAGCTAAATATAATTTTGATTGGTTGCAATAATTTCCCTTCAAAGAATATTCATATGTTGCAGCACATAGTATGCACATATGTCTGTGTGTATGTGTTATTATTTTAGACCTTAGATAGTGTTGATTACTTAATTAAGTTATATTTATGGACAGCATTATTTATATATATATGTGTATACATGTATTTCAATGGATCTGAATGAGAGACTAGCAACTCATGTAGAGTGTGCCAATGGCATAATTTGTGAATTTGTTTAAACTCGTTCAGAAGGACTCTAATCCCAACTACATAACAAACATACATTATATTAATTTAACTATATATAGATATGTGCTTTTAATATAAAGCAGATAAATAAAGGTTTATAATCAAACCGAAAAGGTAAACTATTTTAAATGTCTGTGGAGGAAGCAGGGAAAATACTAAACAATCTTTACGTAAATCGACCGAAAAATATCGACATTTTTTTAATTTTTGTTTAATTATTCAATGTACCATGTATTTAATTTTTATATACTTCTGCCCAGATGTTGGCTTGTGCAGTTTAGTCATATCGAATCTAAGTGGATATGACAAACTTCTGAAGGGCCCTTTGAATTGGCTTTCTAAGCATAGGTTCTGGTTAAACCAAAGTTTACAAACCAATGACTCCCATAATAATTAATAATCAAATATCTAATTTACAAAACAAGCCGTTGTTCTCCTATGTCATGTAATATTCAAAAAAAAACTATAGTCAAAATTATCATAAAATATGGTTTTTTGTTTTGTTTGAGCGATTGTTTAATTTAATTTATTGAGACCTCATTTGACTATAGATTTTTAAGTATTTTTTTTTTTTAATAATGAATTTAAAATGTAAAACAATAAATAATTTGCAGTATATTTATGCAAACACTAATAATAATTGTTACTAACAAATCCTAGATTGAATACAATCTGCTGTTGCAATTATTTCATTTTGAAAACTTTATGTAATTTTAACTTAAATTAGTTCACCAATCTGGTGACAAAAATCAGCAAGTAAGAAATAACGCCAACAGAATTTTTATATAAAATATATAATCTATACTAACAATAATTCGTAATTAAGTATACGTAAATATGTTAAAAAAACTCATATTGGAAAAAATTAATTTAAACAAAATATTTTATTAACAAATTTTTTCGTCTATTTTTCCAATTAATATATAAATCAAACTCATAAATATTAATAATCTAAAACTCCAAAAAGTATTTAAGAAATGAAAATAACTGTAGATTGTAGTAGAGTTATATAATAAACAAAAGCTATTGCAGAGCTCGTTTGTTAAGCAACATCGTACATAATTTTAGGGATCATGTAGGATAAGAGTTGACATTTCATTAGAAACTATTTTTCATATCAAACATTTATTCAATAAAAATAATAGCAATTATTAGTAATGGAATATTATAAGCAAATATAAAATTAAAATCAAAATATTTAACAAAAATCTGTATGACTTGCAATTAGGGAATTAAATTAGAGTTTTTTGATAAGCTAATAATACAACAACAAGTAATAAAATATTAAGATCATAATACGAGGGTAATTTAAATCGAAGAGAGGTGAAGAAATTAATTTTGGCTAAATTTTGTTGCGTTTTTTTGGATGGCAGGCAGAAGGCAGTGATTGGCAAACGACTTTGGGACCAAATTAAAATTACCGTCTTTTTTTGGGAAATTTATTTCAAAATTAAGAAAAACTTATTTTTACTGTCATGGAGGCCCAAGAGGAGAAGAATGTATTCATGAGTAAACAGGAAATCATTATTGTAATACAAAAACCGGAAATCACTATTGTAATACTTACAGTAAACAAAAAAAGTTTAAAACTTTTTCAATAGCAAAAAATAAAACAAGCTTTATAACTAAAATCGCACCTTTTTGCTTCGTATTTAACAACTTAAATATGTACAGTACATTTTTTGGGATAAATTCCATTTTATTCCTATCGTTCTGCCATCAAAAATAAATTTTACTTTCCATTTTTTGATTAACACGAAACACAGTTGCATTTGCTATCCTTTAATCATTGATGGATTGTAATGAAAGTAGTAGTTGCAAACTAGACTTCCATTTTACAAAGAAAACCCAGTTGATACTTGGGTTTTGATATTGAGATATCATAGGTACAGAGATTTGAAACCAAAGTTGAAAAAACCAGTTTCAACTTTTTTATATAAAAATTTAAAATGAAATTCTAAAATAGCCCAATATTGGCCGCATTTAACAATTAACTTTGGAATCTGAGATATAGACGTGGCCAGAATGGGAGAATTCGGAGGGCATAATGGACAATAGATAAACTTTCCCAAATTAAATGTGCAGAAAATATGTAAGGCTTAATACTTCACAATTCGTGTCAAAAGAAAGAGATCAAAAAAAAAAAAAACTCAGAAACTCGCTCGAAATAGAGAAAGAGTACTCCTGCTAGAGATAGAAAATAAATCGAGCAAACTCTGATTTTTCTACGCCACTTGAAGTTTACTTTACTCGTTTTCAAGTGGGAGTAAAATTTACTGAAAGCTGAACAGATTCCACTCTTGCAGAGAACTCCTATACTTTTTGTTGTACCGTTGATCTATTTGTAAGTATGTACGGAACAATTACATTGAAGAATATTTTCGCCAATATTTAGAAACAAAACATATGATAGTGTAGTTGTATTTGTTGTTTTAGTACAACAAAATCCACCGGCTCCTTGCTCCATATTTTTTTCTCCGGACTTCTGCACAAATTTCAACATCAAAACCTAGTTACTCGATTTCACTCTTAGAGTAAATTTTTACTCTATATCGAGAATTTCGACTCTCATCATTATTTTTCAAACAATAGTACTTGCGAAAGCTTCCAAAGAGTCGAGAGTAAACTATTTGTAAAACTCATACACTCCCTTTTACTCACGAGTAAAATTGAATGAATGGCAACTTTGATTCTCACTCTTTGATTTACGGGTTCAAAGTGCTTCAAATATCCGCCAGTCCATTACATACACTAAAAACTTCCTGTACAAGTTCCGATACGGTCGAAAGGACTTGTAGGAATTCTAATTCTAGTAGATTTAGAATCGAAGATTATTGTTGAACAAGACGGACAACAATAAAAATTTGCAAACTACAAAAACACAACAAGTATTCTGACGATACTTACGTTTGTTGTCTGCAATAAAACACTTTAAAATTCACTGATGACACTGACGGTCAATTTATTTATTTTCAAACGTAATTTTTCATAGATCTGTTTTGGTGATGAGACCTCATCGATTGTTAATGATCGATCCATGTCGATGTCATCATCGATAGGGTTGGGCATATTCCCAACACTTCCTTTTCAAATATCAAGGTTATATCAATAAATTCCATTCCTTTGAGTGGCCTTTTTTCAGCCTTGTCATACATGCGGACAAATTAAAACTCCTGACTTTTGCAAGTAAATATTTTAGAATATACTTCATTAATAGCTATTGCTAAATGTTTCTTTTACACAACAATTTTTCTAAAAAGCAATGCATGCAAATAAATTTCTCTTAAATTATAAAATGAAAGGAAATTTGATTAGTTTGAAATCTGCCTGTGCTGCCTTCTATCAACTCAGCCCATTTTAATATGCCATAGCAAGTTGAAATCGGTGTACTGGAATACCCACTGCCCTACATTGTCATTTCTCTTAAAATGTGATTATCTTTGAATAAAAACATTAACTAAAAAACCAAAAGTAGTTGCTTGCAGTTTTTGCCATTTATACAAACACAAAAAGATTTACAGATGTAAAATACTCATACATTGTAATTAAAAAAATATTCTAAACAATAATACAATAAAGAGAGACTTGGATTTTTTCTTAGAAATTATACATATATTTATGACATAATAATATAACTTAAGAAAAAAACAAATACTATTATTTTAGTTTTGAATTAGGTGAATAACAATTTATCCAAATCAAGCACTAGACGCTTTTGAATATACTTAATAAAAAATATATATACTCGATAGCAAATACAGTATACGATTAATGCCAACAGAGACATATAAACATACATATACTACATATATGATATTCCATTAGTGAGTAGCTTTAACTTTATATACATCGTAGCTGTTAGTTACTTACCAACATGTTATGGTAAGAGTAGTTCTAAATTGAAGCTTATTGAAAAACACAAAATAAATAAATAAATTTAAAATTAAATAGATGAGATAAAGCCGACCCTTGTTCTGTTAAATAGCCCCAAAAATTACTACGTTTTTTGTTTGACAAACTGTTAATGTGACCCCCCAAAAGCACCCTGTAAAATGCATTTCTTGACCGAGAGTACAAAAGACACATAAAAAACTTACAATTGAATATTTGAAAACCAAATAAGAATATGCAAGTGCATTCCTGTCAATAATTAGACCTAAAATCTTATTGTATATCGAATTAGAGATCACGGAAATCTAACAGTATCACATCCATCCGTTAAATTTATAAGCCGGGAATCCAAAAAAAAAAAAAATGAGAGAGTTGTCGACAAACCATAAAAAAAGACTAACCACTTAAGTATACACTTCCTCATATCAATCTAGTGTAATCCAATAGTATA